TTACCATGCCCTCTCGTACCCATGCATTTACATGGTCGCACACACACACACACACACACACACACACCACAGCACACACACACACACATATCCAGCCCCAATACATCACTAGTAGCCCTGGTGCCCTTGTCCGTCTGGCTAACAGGCTTCAGTGAGCGTCTAAATCCTGCCCTGATGCCAGCACTGTGCTCACTGACACACTTCTGCTGTCCGCATTACAGCTGGTACACTGCTAGCTTTAGCTTCAGTGAAAGTAGTCCGTTGGTTTTTTTGTTGTTTCTTTTAAGATAAAGATAAAAATGAGTTAAATTACTGATAATGCTAACAGATATAAGAGGATACATGTGCAAATAACATTAACAATATGATGATTATGATTATGTAACAAAACAAAAATGTAAGGAAATGCTCTGTAGATTGTGGCATTGTTAATGAACTTAAAATCATTCTTCATTTTATCAATATCTTTTATCCACTGTGTTTTACTGCCTTTTCTGTGATTTGATATTCAATTGTCATATCTTTATAGGAGAATATTAACTAGAACTAACAGTTACAGTTAGTTTTTGTCTGAAAAATTGTTCAGAGGAGGTGAAGTACTTTTTTAGTAGTGTCTTCAGTCTTCATCTCACACTGCATACGGTCCCAATAACCTCCACCCTGCATGCAGTCTGCATTTGGCCTAAGNNCTCTGCTGCTCATTAAGCTTATTGCTAATAATTGTTGGACTCACATGAGAATATTAATATTTATTTCAATCAGAGCTTCACTCATCTGGATTTTAGCAGCTGCACAATCAAAGGATACAGAAAGTCAGAATCTCAAAATGAAACTGTAGAAGTACCTCCACCCGTTCCCAGTGCAAATTACGACCTTTAATACAACTCACCAAAAAACAGATGGAAACATGGGAAGACCATGCAAATGTCCTTTTGTTTGTTGTTTTACAATACTTTAATTTAGATGTATTGTCTAACATTTAAGAGTTTAATATCTGCAATAATAATACTGTAAAATGTAGCTGCAGTGCATGGAAGAAGGGAAACACAGTGGCTGCCTTTGTAAATGCATGCATATTCAAAGAAATGAATGCAATTGTATGTGCATTCATAGTTTATGCATATGAAAACTAAGGAGGAACTTCATTATAGAAGAGAACAAGGGGAATTCCCCTTGCATCGCCCAGGGCTTTGAACACACACCACTATAGTGTATGTTGAATGAATTAGCCTCTTGTAATTATTGATAACACGTCTTCTCTTCTGCAATGACAATCAGCCTGAATGTATTTCAATATTTCAGCGTTACATTATTTTATTTTTTCTCTCTTCTCTATAACCATCTATTCATACAGTACACCAGAGGGAAGGGCTATTATGCATGAACTGACAGACAATCATAGGGATCAAATGAATCAGAAAAAAGTCAAATGGGAATACTCTGTTGCCTGCTGTTACTATAATTCCATTTGAATCTCAACATGAAATTCCCATTCGTATGTAAGTGGGATGAAGCTGAGATAAGGGCTTAGGCTGAGCTGCACCGTAGCTGTCCATAAGGCCAAATGCCTTTGAAGTTAACACCATGGGTTTAGCATGGACATGTGGATGTGCACTGACAACTCAAACACTTGCAGTAGCTGCAGATTGATCACATCACTTACCTGCAGGCTTCCCTAAATCACACTGCTAAGTGTTTCAATCACGCAGAAATTTGTTTAAATTCAAATGAAAGAATCAGTCACTGCCGTATCACTTCCTTGTAGACGTGTTGCTTTGTACATTGAATTTATCTGGCTCATCTCGGGATCACCTTACATGAGTTAAAGAAGCATTTCACCCGTGGAAACATTAATCTTTATTGAAAGTGGGTTATATATGTAGTCGAAATGTAACATAAATTTTGAATTTGGTGCCTATTTGACCGAGAAAAGAGTGTTTGTAGTCTCAC